ATAACTCTTTTATTTATCAGATTTTAATATTTTTAATTTTAATTTGCAATTATTCTCATTTTCTTATCTTTCTAAATTTCAAATTAATAGATCAATAGAATTTATACCTTATTAAATTTTGCTATTATTAAGGCCCAAAAAATAAAAAAATAACTAGAATTTTATTAATACCTGGATAACTCTTTTATTTATCAGATTTTAATATTTTTTAATTTAATTTCAAATTGTAATCTTATTTAGAGATTTTAATATTTTTCTCTTTAAATTAGAATGGTGATTATCCATTTATTTTTTATTGTTAGTTAATAATTGATAACTAGATAAATTAAAATTAAAATTATTACTTTATCTATAAGATAAACAAAATTTAAAAATATTAATCAAATCTAATTTGAATCTTATATAACAAAAGTTTTTTTAAATTATGCCATTTATTTGAAATTTGAATTTCACTTTATTAAATTTTTAATTTAAATTCACATACGATTAATCTCATTGAAATAAAAAAAGTGAAACCTTTTTGTCCTTCAAGAAATAAGGAAGAATTAATCAAAAATTGCTCATTCCTTAAAAAAAAAAAAAGAAAAAGGAAAAGATAAAAAAGTGAATGAAAATAAATTTGGAGGAAATCCCCTACGAAATAAGGTGGAAACCACTATAGTTATCAAATATAATAAATAGCACACTAAACAACTTTGTAAAAAGTATTAAAGTTGAGACTATATACATCTGAAAGACTGAAACATATTACTTAGATCTCTTTTGGTCAAAGGGTTAACAGAGAGACCATGTACATCTGAAACATATTACTTAGAGCTTTCTTGCTCAAAGAGTTAACAGAGTAATCCATAGGGTCTCAACAAAAGGGCTTATAGGCAGAAATAGGAAGATAATTTAGACAAAATCTTTTTCTAACAATTTTTTTTTTTGTATAATCTTGTGTGTCATTTAATAATTGTTATTAATAAAAAGAGATATAGGGCTTTTCATATTGTATGTATTTATTTATTTAATATTATAGGAAAGTTATATAAAAAAATTGTATAAAAAAATTGTTTTTATAACATTATTGAACAAAAATACATGAATACTTGAATAGTCATTCCAAGTTAGTGAAATTTCAAGATTGTTGTGAAATAGTCAACAACCTAAATAATTCAATGGTTATCTCTTTTTGTTAAAAGTAAGAAGTTCGAATCGTATAGCATACAGGTGGAATGAGATAAGGGATGCGAAATGATTGCCTCACATTGTACAACTAAGATAAAAAAAAAAAATTTGTTGTTAAATAGGATTCCAAATGCAGTCTTTATGTACGCAATTAGTGGATCTTCGTGGAAGAAGACCGCTATAGCCGGTTTGACGGAGAATTATACCAAAATTAGAGGTGAACAAGCGCGCAAATTAGGGATAGGCTAAGAGAAAATTTAAAAGATTAAAAGTAGAACAAGTCAAGAGGAAAGTTAGGAGCTTAAAATTAGGGCCACGATATGAGAATGGTGGTATATATAGGGCAGTAAAGAGGAGAAGCAGAAGAACAGGGAGCAAGGAGTTTAGAGAGAGAGAAATAAAAAAATAAGAGAGGGTAAAACAGAAAGTCAATGGAGAAAGGTTTTATAGGAAGCTCAAAAGTTCGAAAGGAAGGATGTTTTACAGGAGGCTCAAACAAAACAGGTTGCTTTTTATCCCTTGCACTTGGAATGTATATGAAATATATATTTTTTAATTTGCTAGATGATTCAATTGATGCACTTAATGCCTTGCACTACCATGTGGTGAAATTGAAATGCATTGCTAATGCTTATTTCAAGGGAATAAAGTTGAGTTTTCAATTGTACAGGGGATATTACTTTTATGGCTAGCAATCATGATTCTAGAATCAAAGCTGTGCCCTTGCACGACTACATCAACTCAAAGCTGCAGATCCCCAACATCATCGCAGCTGATTTTTCTGTCCTCTTCTTTGAGGTTGATTTTTGTTGGAGTTAGTTGTGTTGGGTGCTCCACGGTATTTGCAGCAGATTAGTTGGAAATCTCCAAACAGCAGAGGGCTTTAGAGACGCTCTTTATGTTTTACTATGCGTCATCCTCCATTCCTACTATAATTGCTTACATAGAAGCTACTAACATAGAAATATAAGTAAGGATGGAAAAAGAGTTTTGGAGTTCCAGTCATCCCACTACCATGTGTTATTATGTTTTTCTTGGCCTCTCCACTTTATTTCAAGGAGAAACCAAAGAAAAGGTTGTTCACTAGCTTTGCCCAAGTGATTGTAGTAGCTTACAGGAATAGAAACATGTTGTTTCGCCTTCCAAACGCAAGTGGGTGTTACCTTCCCAGCAAGGACTCAGAGATTGTTGTGCCAAGTGACAAGTGGGTGGGGTTATGGCCACCAATTTATTTGTTAAGATCACCAAAATTGTATTTCATTTTATTGATATTATAGTTTTTTTCTTAAACAAATAATTATGATATCACCAATTATGATATCACCAATGATGTAAGTAGTTCAGTAATCATCTCCCTCCTCTAGAACTAAGAGATTCTAAGTTTGAGTCACATGGCATGCTAGTGGGGTGTGATAAGAGATGAGAGATGATTGCTTCTTATTGTGCAATCAAGATAAAAAAAAAAGAAGTTATGATATCTAAAAATATTAATTTATAAACTGATTTTAATTTATTGAGTAATATGTATTTTATTAGTTATTAGTTATTTTTAACATTCAGATTAAATAAAATCAATATTTTTTAACATGATTTTGGTGGCCTTAACAAATGAATTGGTAGCCATAACCACACTTATAACAAGCTGAGGTATATATATCTTTGCATGCCTTAATTGATATAGGATTTTTATGCCTTAGTTAAGGACCAGCTTATTCTATTTCTATTTTTCTCTTAAGTTTTTGAACAAAGCTTACATGGTGAGGAATCATGAATAGAAACATATTCCTTCATGGCTCAACCATTAATACACGGATACTTTGTTCAATAGAGTAAATGGAGGAGTTTCAAAGCACTCCTAAAGGTCTTACCATTATGGAGTGTGTTGACGACCACTTAAGATTTTCAAAATAAATGAAAAATTAAGTGTGAAAAATATAAAAAGAGGGAGTC